CACACACACACTTACTTTTTTTTCTTTATCTTGTAGTCTTGTGTTCGCGGCCCATGTATGACAGCATGAATGGGGAACACAAGACAACAAGATAAAGAAAAAATTGAATCGAGTAATACGGAAAGCATGCCATAAATTCAACATCCACATTCGTAAGGGTGGCGTAGAAGGAAATATAGTCAGTTTTCTGCTGAAAATGAAATATAACATTGACAAATTTCAAAACAAAGAAACCTGCAAATTAATGAAATATTTTAGACCAGAACAAACAAATAGGCACTCACATGCTCATTTTTAATCCTGGAGTGATTATAGGACTTCTTTGTAGACAACTTTTTCTGGTTTGTGCATTTGGCGACAAAGTAAATACAGAATGCCTGAATCCACTTCTTGATAAGGCAACATACAACATTCCATGTGAAAATACTGACTGGTTCAGGTCAAGTCCAATATATTTCAGTGTTTGCCTTTTGGCTTTATTAATGGTCATTGCAAAGCAGGGTCTGGTGGGAAATTGCCTGCTTTTAAATTGGAAGGGGAATTTTGTGTCGAATGGTTGGAGAGGTATGCGTGGAATAAAATGGCGCTTTCCTTTGTATGGTCCAAGAGTAATTTCGACCCGTGTGCCATCCATCAGTTGCAGCTGTTGCAGAGATCTGAAAATCCTAATTGGCTTGCCAACTTTTAATTCAAGAACATGATGTGGGAGACCTGAAACCTCAAACGAATTGAGGAATTCCACCGGGAAATTGTACAGATTTTTCTTCATCCACAACATTGTTGATTGAGGTGTATGTTGTTGTAGGACCTGGCAGCTTCAGTGACAGCATAGTGTTGATTTCACTGACTCTTTCATATAAAGGGGTGAGGGTCGCTCTTTGCATGAGCCATTCTATTTATAAAATCTCACTCACGCCTGAAAACACACAGTCAAATAATAATTCGGCTGTCTCCACCGTAGTTCCAAACCTACTGAGAGCGATCACATCTGGATGAGCAATTATTGGAATCGTACCCTTTCCGAGCTGTAACGTCATGTCGGCAAACAATCTTCCTTCCTCATTCCCATTATGTTGCAGAACTCGTGAGGGTGTAACTTGTTCTACGCTGCCGTAGTGAAGATTTCTTCAGGCAGGCATTCATAATGTTAGCTCTTGTTCCTAGAGGACGACCGGCAGTATCTGGCGAAAATCAGCACCGAGCAAAGTAGGCAGACCACCCATAGGCAGCTCGGATGATCGAAGGCCATGCAACGTATTATCCATACATTCCAGCACTTTGCTATGTATCATAGGGGCTTCATCTATTACCAAGAGAGTTGCTTCTGTAAAAAGACGACAGAATGATGTTCTTTTCTTCACAGAACAGATGGCATTGTCTGACGTCGCAACATTTACGGGCACTATGAAGGTACTGTGAATAGTCCTGCCGCCAGGTAAAAAAGTTGCAGCTCTAGATCTACATTATTGCTTTAGATCTGCCTTGATTAACTCCTCTATTTCTATAGATCCACAATAGTAATACGTTAGTAGACTCTTCTTAGATCAGTCTTGATCTGGCTTGGCATTGGGCACGATCTAATCAAGTAGATCTAATCACAAAACGTAAAAAGAATACAGGTCTAGTAGGCCTTCATTCTGTGCCCCAAAAGATTTTCTGATTTTTTTTCAGATGTCTAGATCTGGATCAAGTACAACACCCAAACGGATGGCCAGTAGATCTAATCTTTACTTACTTTTACTTCTTTCTTCCGCTTGAACCGGTGCAGTGTGCAGAGCTGATCCCTCTTGCTTGAGCAGCTGATGTTTTCTCTCCTGATGTACCACAACATTTTCCAAATGATCTTAAAACCGATTTAAAATCTCCATACCATCTGCTGTCACTCTTGCTGTACCATCGTCTTCAACCATGAACCAGTTTGGATCAAAACATGTACATTTGTACTGGCTCGATTCAAGCCATGGTATACCATTCTGTGTTCGCAGGTTTCGGTACACGACTCCGTCTGTTTTTTTCTGAACTCCAGTAAATGTCGATTTCTTGGGATCACGTCTCCAGTCAGATAAAAAGTGAGCTTCATCGGTCCATCCCCCTTTCCACGAATGCATTATTTTTTGCACGGCAACTCCGAAATAATCGACACATTTTGATCCATTCCTAATGTGCTCACAGGAAATACTTTAGTTTCAAATGCAATGCCTTCAAATCGAGATAGTGCTTCAAAATTCAGGGAACATAATTTTTTTAAGGGCTGGTGGGGCACCCAGAAATCTTGTTTTGCGGCCAAATTATGCAAGTTGGGGTTATTACATATTATAGTACCTGGGCATTTCCTGAACAATATCCAGAAACGTATGTAAGCTTTGCTACAACCTAAAGCTGTCTTTTTTGTCCAAGTGTTTCTGCGAAACACACGTTCTGCAGTCGGTTCTTACCTTTATCGGCTGTTTTCACACATTATCCCATTTTTCTGTGATGTTTCGTTTTCAAGTTCAATTTACTGTCACAGGATGCAAACACCACCTAGTTCTAAATTTTGGCTTGTTGAATTTTTGATTAATGGAGTAGTTTTTAATTTATGGGCTTAGAAAGGATGAATGTTTCATTTTTTTCACTTTTTTTTGCAACAACCCATTTGTAAGTGTCATAAAATAAAAACTAAAGCCTATATCAGAAATCCAAAATGCCAAATTTTAGAGCTATATATTTACTGTTGGTTTGCCATAATATTAGAAGTGAATCAGTTAATAAATAATGGCATACAATGGGATTCAAAAAGGTATACACAATCCATAATGGCAGCCGTTTCCATAGCAGCCAATTCAAAATATACTTTTGAACTATAGATTTCAAATCCCCAATAGCTCACTAATAAAGACAATTTAGAAGCGACAAATGCAGTCTCTGGGACACTTGAATACACAAACGGACCTTGTACACATAGCTCTCACTGTTAAAACTGGAGGCAAACGCGGAAGGGATAGATCTAGACCCAAAGTAATTGATATTATTTGGAAAGCCTACTCAGATATATGACATGGAAAGACCAGGATAATCATTTACGGAAAATATGGGCACTCTAGGCCTTGTAATAGCCTAAATAGACCCCAGGTGCCCCACCAGCCCTTTAGGTGGAGCTCAAAACTCCAACGGTGACGACGTACAGATTTCTTTGGCGTGGCCTCTTGAGAGCGCTGGACGATGTCAAAGTTTTCGTCCTTGCAGATTTACTGCATTCATTCATCGTTCCCTTAGTCCTACACAGACACACATGCCAGACCCTTTTAATAGGCACTTCAGTGACATTTTCAAACTTCTTCATTGACACAGAACTTAGGATTATAGGAAAGAGCTTGGCTTTTTGTTTTCAGATCTTTTTATATTTTTGTGCTATCTTTGTTAGTTTAGAAGCAGCCACCATTTTTGTGAATCAATTTTCGCCATGATTTGGCCAATTTTTGCACTGCATTTTGTTCCACCAAACTTTCAAATT